GCCTGGCATAGACGGCGCGGGAGTTTTTAGTCGCAGGTTAAGAAGCCCTCCTCAGTCGATCCATCACAGAAGCTGACAGCAGTTACCGAAAGTGCTCTGGAAAACAGTTTAAAGCACGTAACAGCAATAGAGGGCCCCACGGAGAGGCAGCTTTGACAACAGAGGGAAACGCTTGAAGAGGGGTTACTGAAAAAGAAAATCTGTTTACTATTCTCCTTTCAAGATAACTCCTTTCACCTCTGCTTTTCGGTGCTGAGATTGCAAACAACAAGGAATAACAGCTGCTAAAGCATGAATGGATAATCACCTCTGCTACCTTCACGACAACCTGCAAGAGGCCCCGGACGCGCTGCTGCGCTGCTGCCACGCGAGGCAGGAAGTGCGAGCTCGGGAGCAGGAGCCCCCGCGGCCGAGCCGACAAAGGCAGCTGGCTCAGCACTAGCTCGGCCTCCGCACGGTGCCGTGTTGCACCACACACAAACGCTCCGTGCCAACGGGCCGGCAGATGCCGGATTGCCAGCACATGGCTCTCAACCACCAGGATCCAAAACCACTCCAATATCAGAGAGGAAGGCAGGGATGGATACCACAGCCACAGGAGATAACAGAAAGCTGAGTGGGGGGAAGACCACTGCAGAGAAAACATCAAGGACAGCATTAAAGCGGAAGGCGCTTCTGTGGAAGGCAGAATGGTGCAGAAGCAGGGGAAGACCATCCAGGCAGAGGAGACAAGAACAGGAAAAATACCCCAGTGACTGCCAATGCGCTGTGCGTTATACTGGACTTGCAAGTTAGTTGAGAAAGCAGCTTGAAGAGCGGCTGCAGGGGATGAGACTCCTCTACAGCAGAAATGCTGGAGCCCTGGGAACCACGCAGCTCTACAGGAAGTGCATTGCAAGCTTGGAGGGGCCATCACAACCCCAAAACCCTGGGCCCTGTGAACAAGATAACTGGACTCAGCATCTTATTTTCACTGAATAATGCTTTCTTCCTTTGAAAGAGGGGTACAGAAACACAAATTGGGCGATCCCACCTGGCTCAACAGCCAGGGACCACACTGCATGCAGTGTGAGCGAGGGTCAAGGAGACTGTCTGGCTACAAACCCGAAGAATAAACGTGTTTGCATTTGTTTTCAGATGCTCTGTGCCAAACAAAACAATATGTATTTTATGTAAGATCTGTAAGCTCCAAAAAACAGAATGGGGAGAAAGGATATCAAGGGGGAGGGGTGCTGGAATCAGAATTAATCAGATGAATTAAATATAGAAAAGTCATTAGTGATTAATTAATAGGTTAGTCTACAGAGGCTGGATTCCACTTCTTCCAGGCTGTTTGTTTTCCTCATGTGACTGGAAGAACTATCCTCCATCTCCTGAAGAAATTAATTATCACGCAGGGAAGAAACCCTCAACCATAACGGTGGTAGTCTCTGAAGGAATCTGTTAGGTATCCTGACCGAGGACTGGGAGTGGCAAAGCAGCTGTCTTTGGAAATTTGTAACTTAAATACCAAATGTTTGGGGAAAACCCTCAGAGCACTTGCAAGAGATTCTGCAGTAAAAAACAAGAGATGAGAAATAAAATCTGCTGGTAAACGATACTCAAAACGCTACACAGGGTTCCACACTCCTCTCCTGGTTCATGGGCTATAGCCCAGCAGCGAGAGCAGCTTACTGCAGTATATTCTGTTAGCAGCACTCGTGGCCAAATTCATTATTAGAACAGAGCGTCGCACCAATTCACCTTAGGGTTCAGCATGCGTTGAAACAGTTCTGTTATCCCAGTGTGAAAATCTTTGGTTTCCAGCCCCAGGCATATGCAGTAGGAAGTGAAGTTACGCTAATTCAAGAGAACTACCACGCGCATTTTTGAATCAGAAACATGGACACAGAGATACTCATCTTGGCGAGCACAGACAGACAGTGTCAGT